GTCTGGGGATTACCAACGCTTCCATATCGCAACTGAAATACCTTCGCTGTTTGAACCTGTCGTTTGACAATAGATAACAGATATTGTCTATGTTATAAAGTGCATTCTGAGGAATCGCCGACATCAGTGAAGAGCATATGAGACCAGTTTGCTTAATCAGCGATTTGGAGTACAGTCGTCAGTTCACAAACAACCCAACGCATATGTACTCGGCCATTAACTTTCAGGTGCTTCGGAAATCTGCATAGTAAGGCAGCATATCAACTTCCCGGATCTTTTCCAGTTAAGCCCCACCAAAAAGTTAAGCCCCGCCACCCAAAAAAGATTATGAAAAGGGAGGATATGGAACTTGAACTTTTACTCTCTACTGAAGAGGGTGAAATTGAGACGTCATTAATAATTTGCATGAAAAGGTCCATTTTTCGGTGTCTTTTCCTCCAAACGAACTCACACAGGTAGCTGTCCACTAAAGATCGGTGTGTGCCGCATTGGCTCTTATTCTGCATCTTGTAAACGTGCCAAAGAGATTCGATGGTTTGTGTGTGAGCTCCAGTCGTTGGATCCACAAAGTTTTCGGTATGATTAACCATTTGATGAGTATAACTCATGCCAATCATCGATTCAATGCCTTGGTATGATGCCCACATATCGGAAATGATAATTGAGCCGGGAGCGATGCAGGCCTGGATTGTGTCCAGCAGAGTGGCCGCAGTTCGATTTGGCACTGCATACAAGAACACTTCTTTAGTCTCCCTGCAAATCCCTCCGAAAATCCACTGGAGAAGGACTCGCCCTGCATGGCTTTTACGACGTGATATTAGGGTTTCATCGATCTCGACATGTAGACCTGGGCCGCCGACAATCGTTGGAGTCTGCAAAAGCTGCCAGGCGCAAATTTCACGCAGAAAGTTCTTCCAGTCGACAGCGGTCGCATGGCCAATAGATAACTCCTCTGAGCAGAATTCGATTGTTGTCAGATCTTTGGACCAGCAATAAATGAATAGGATTATTGTCCTGAAATCCATCCTAGACCGCTCCAGCCAAGTTCCCTTTCGAAGACCGATTTCTTGCCGACACTGTCGGGCATCACACCTCCACCTGTCAGAAACAGTGGAAAGTGTCATTTGGTGTCCTCGTCTGCATAAACGTTGATGATGAATCACTCCATGGCTTTGCAAAAAACGTATTGCTGTTTCCTTGTGATGAACGACCGCCGAAAGCGTCAGAAAGTTCATGTCAGGTTTTACGTGCGAACGTAGAAACTTTTTAGACAAAAATGACCTTAGAAGCGGATAAGGAGTGTTTTTATGGGGCACGTTCAGTGGCGGTGCTCAACTTTTCACGGGTGCCCTTTTTGCACTATTGGTGGGGCTTGACTTTTCAGGTGTACCCTTTTTGCTTTAGTGGCGGGGCTTAACTTTTTACGCGTGCTCTTTTTGCATTAGTGGCGGGGCTTAACTGGAAAAGATCCAACTTCCCCACCGGAAGGGTTAGCAGCAAATCAAGAGCTACTGCTCGTTAAACTTAACACCATTTTTTAAACAGTTTTGCGATAAGTATCATGAATTGGTCAGCAACTGCTCCAATAAGTTCAGTGATCTTTCTAACCACGTCAACTTCCTTTTTAAATGCAATGAAGCACAAATGCCGGGTCTCCTTTTTGAAAACTGGATTCAACCATGTCATCCGAGCGACTGATTTCTGTGCATAACTCAGTGAGCTATTTTGGTACTCACTGGGTGTGTGCTATTGTTAAGAAGCCTGTTTTTGTTAGCCAACAGAGCCTTGATTGTTCACGTAGTTTTCTCTTTATTAGGGTTGCAATAATTTGTTCAATAGCTGGGTAGCAATGTAATCAGGGTGGACCACGGTTGCATAGTCATCGTTTTCAGATGTATTTACCGCCAGAATTGCCGAAGTGCCTCCTGTCACAACGACTCTGTTTAAATTTAAGACTGTGACTTCCAGCCCTTTTGCCGATTAATTTCGGTTATGCTGCGCTCAGGTTCGCAAGCCGATAAGTTTTGTCAAGCGATTTATGCTAGACGGGAATCCTTCATTGGCGGCGAAATTCAAAATAGTTATGAGTTCAATTGCTTGGTGCACTTCACAGTTCTACTTAACGAGATCATCGAAGTGGAGCTGGCCAAATGGCTAAAAGTGCTTTGCCCCCCATATCTCTTTAAATAAATTGTTTATTTTCAGCGAACACTGTTAGACACGATGATTTATTACGATCTGTAGTTAACAGCAGTGTTCCACGCGGACCAGTTCGACGGTACATAAGTATACAACTTTCACCTGTCCACACGTCTAATTGAAGCCCAACATCGTTCATGAACAAGTAAATTTCTGCTACTGATGTGCAGCATTCGCAGTAGGGACGCGTACCGCAAACTCCTTCTTGCTTGTGCTAACCCTGGTAACCAGGCGAAGTAAGAACTTTGTGATCGTCGTTGTTTTCAGTACATTGACTCCTGGAGCAAATCTACAACCGCTCAGGCTCTTACGGTTTGTAGGTAACGTTTTGCTTTTGACACAAAAACGTCTTCTAAAGTGAAACTTTTATAGCGAACTGAGATAATAGTTGCGAGGCCTGGGATTTAAGTACTAGGGGTATTCGTTTTATATGCCCAATTGTCACTCTAATTGACACATTACGGACAGAAAGGCTGCAAGTGGTTAAAGTCAATATTTCACCGCATGTTGCCCACCAAATATGCCATTAGCATATTTCCAAGCTCCTCTGGAATAATTGTATCACGACCGGTTCCAAGCAAAATTTAAAATATTGTGTGCGCAAGTTTCGAGGGTCATTTTGAAGTAGTCGTTGTGTGATTACATTACGACACGCAATCCCAATGTGGACCGTGATCCGCGTTGCAGCGAATTTAGACCACTTCAGTCACTAGGACGGTATTTGAAACGTATAGAAGATGGGTGCTACTTGCCCGAGAACACTGCATGTCACTACGCAGTTAAACCTCGTTTGCTCTCCTCAGGTGGACACAGCAAGCTTCGAATGCTTGACCACTGGGATGTTAGTTGCCCACCGTGACCCGATGATTAATGTGATAGAGGTCCCAACTAACACCTCAATGTTCCAGCGTTCGAGAGTTGCTATCTCTACCTGATGTGATCAAACAAGAGTACTCGGTTTCTTTGTCACGTTAAAAAACATCAAATGAACGATAAATGGCCTTGTACACGTTGGCTTATTTCGCCGAATTCGTTCTTTTAAAAAGCAATAACTGATGTGTCTACAAACGAGGGCTCCGTTGCAACATTTTCGGTTCCTTCTATGTTTGTAATTAGAGAGTGGTAAAAGAAAAAAGGTCTGCATTACTCAAGTTTAGTTGATAGAGTTTTTAAACTTTTAGCTGCCACGTATGCTTGGGATGCAACATAGTTCACAGCTAATTCCGCAATCCGGTATGAGTTGGATTCAGCCATAATTACTTCGTAAGCTTTGGCTCTCTATGTGGTGGAGGCAGACTCGGTGTAGCTCATCTCTACTAATTCTCGGTTAAAAAAGGAAGCAAAGCGCCATTATTTACTGAAGAGACGGCAGCCGTTAGTTATAAGGTAGCAAAATAATAAGCAAGGTGTTGCTAAAAGCCATGACTGCATAGTGCTCCAAACGCAGAGTAGCCAATCGAGTTCGCGAGTTCGACTTAGCCGCCAGACATTGTACACGCACGGAAAGCATAGGGACGAAACGTATCACCTCGAACGACTGCATCGAGACCAAAAAAGTAAGTCTGGCCGATATTAAGATTTCGTTTACGTTCTCAACTAAGAGCTATTCATGCCTTCTACGCCGTCCTATTAATAGTATTGCAGGTTGCTACATAAAGCATAGTGGAAGGAGGGGGTTGACAAAGTGCACGTATTACCACTGAAGAAAATACAGTTGGTTCTCTACGGTTTGATAACGTAGATCCAACAGTATCCTACAGAAAATTAAGTTGTTACCTGCGTAGTTTCAGTCGCCATATGGAGACAGTATGGCTGCGGGGAACTCGGGTTAAATTTGCGGAATTATTTGAACTTTGCGGTAGATCTATCGTTTCATACCTCTTCTTAGAGAGCAGTGGTATCAACTCTCGCGGTATTGGCGCTTCCTAATAGCGAAAGCATTGGCAATAATGAATAGTTCGTCTCGGCCAGTCTTATTTACAAAAGCAATTAGCTAACAAGAAATTTCAGAGTTAACCTATGGCTAAACTAATTTTCAAGTAGAGTATGCTAGCGCTTTCCATGTACTCTTCGATTCTACAGTTTAGACCACTCCATTTGCTATTCACACAAGGTTCCGGTGCAATCTATCGAACACCAAATTTTGCAACCAGTTACTCCTATTTGTCCCACTGTCTATTTTTATAGGCAAAACGAGTTAATTCTAAGTCAATCGATGAACAATCTCAGTGGAGCTATTATCCGGTTTTTAACATCCGTTCTCTTAATCTTGCACTTGTCAGAAATTAGTTGTTTTTCAGTACATTCAACTGATTCTGTTGTTTAGCCACATTTGGCACATATGTGCACCTGTGGGGAAATTCTGAAATAACATGAAGTATCGTCCTCTTCAGCTTCGAATACCTCATGTGACTAACGTACCGCACACAGTTCTCTGGTACGTCATAGTATAACCCGCGCTTATAAAATCATTTGTTTGTCTACTTCCCTTAACTAGTGCAGTTTGAGCGTATATTGGATAGATTATATACAATGTGGAACAGTCTGCATTTTGTTCAGCGGAATTAATGAATTGTATAGCTAAACGCTGTTGACTCCGGTTACATCTGGACGACGAGCGGCCGCGTGTTTAACTAAGGCTATGGTCCAACTGCTTTCACCTTAATACTCTTTTGTTGTATCGTTTTAAAACTAGGTCAATGTGTTTAACAGCTTTAATTTTACGTGATAAACCAAACCAAGGCTTGTATACCGACTGCAGAGCCCAATTTCCCAGACTCTACTTTCCTTCTCTCTCCCAGTTCAGACACGAACGTACTCAACCACAGTCAGGAAATCGCGTTTCAGCTCCTTGCAGCCATCATCCAGAACAGCGGAACTATTTTTAATATTTCCTTGTTAATTTGTCATCTCCGTCTTTCCCACATTTATCCCTAGGGAACCGCGCAGCTCCCAACCCATCTTCCAGCGGAATGTCATTGCTCTTGTTTTTGGTTCCGGACGAAAATTCTGTGATCTATATGATTATGTATGCCCTTAAAGTCATTCCTCTCTCCCTTGTGCCTTAAATTTGATGACCATGTCGCCTTGATATACCATCTATTCTCATAACACCCCTATTAACTTTTCCTATGAATAACCGAGCAAACGTAATGGGCTGTTTGTCCATCTGTGTCATTCATTCACATTCACTATACACCTTAGTTAGAGGTGTAAAGCACCTCAGTTACTGTGCCGCAATACATAAAAGAAAAAGAAAGTAAGAGTTGCATGCAAGCTGAGCTGCCAACAACGGATGGGCATCGTTACGGAAAGCTACCAGCCGGCTATTAATCAAAAAGAAAAAAATATGTAAAATTCGATTACGCTTCGAAATGAGATCGTGGTTGCAGGGGTGGGTAAAATGGATGGGGAGGGACAAAGAAACTCACAACACGAACGCCACTAAGATCGGCTACTTGCCATGTCAGCAAGTATATCCAAGCAAACGCGTTCATCGTCTTTTGGTCCCAAACCAGCGAGCCGTGACGCTCCAGCTGAGTCCAGCTCCGAAGTGAGAGCCTTCATTCCTCTCGACCAACTCATCGCTTGTCCACCTCTCCTCTTCTTCCATCCACACCCCCGGTGAGCAGATAACGCACGTCGCGGAAGTCGGTGGGCTGGCATGCGCAACACGTGGCCCAGCCATCGGAGCCTGATGTGTGAAATGATGGTTCTGAGCGGTTCAGTTCGTTTTCCTGTGTCGTAAACACGGCGTCGAACACGCACGTTACTCACGCGGTGTTCCCACCAGATGTGAACCAAACTGCGAAGGCACGGATGGTCGAACGTAATAGCCTCTCTATTACAGAAGAGTAATAGGGGGACTTGAATCGTATAATTAGAAATTCCTCTTATTTGGGTTCACTCAGAAAGCGTCACACCCCCGGAATAGCACTGTACGCGCGTTTCATCCTTTCGGGAATCGTCAGCAGTGCGCATTCCATCGGACCCTGGTAGGGCGCGAACCCGCAACTCGACTGTTGCCAGTCGTGGTTGAGAGCAGTGAGTTACGGGGGACGGTAACGACCGTCATGAATTTGTTACTAGATGTGGATATTGAGCGGCGCTATATGACATCTAGTATCTAATTCACGATGGTCGTTACCGTCCACCGTAGCTCAGTGGTCTCAACCACGACTGGTAACAGTCGAGCTGCGGGTTCGAGCCCTACTAGGGTCCGATGGAATGCGCACTGCTGACGATTCCCGAAAGGATGGAACGCGCGTACAGTGCTATTCCGGGGGTGTGACGGCTGTCTGAGTGCGTTCAGATGTAACGAATTTCTAGCAACACCATCCAACTCCTCTAGCTACTTTTCTGCAATCAGTACGCAGACCACGCTGCGTATAGTGCCATAAGTTAACTGACAGCTTAAGTTTGGTAAGCTCGTTGCTTGGTGAGGGGGTACCCTGTCCTCTGCATGGCAGTAACATGTAACTCAGTGGATGGTGAGTAACTTATCTATGTACCCTGGTCTAAGGGATCAGGTTTCACAACCGTACAGTAAGGTTGAAAGTACCGATGCATTGTACACTCTACCCTTCAGGGCACCAGTGACGTGGCACAGCCACCATAACTAGCGAAGCCTAGCAAAAGCATTTCGAGCTTTGATGTACGGTCCGTCATCCCATCTTCAATCCCAAGGGTGCTGATATAACTTTCCAGGTAGCTGAATTTCTGAACGACTTCTAGCTGACCCCTACCGAGAGTCAGCGCAGCAGGCTTTCTCTACCAATATTGGACGAAAGCATTGCAATTCGATGATGCAAAGCAAAGCCCGAAGCAGCTGACAGCCAGTGCTAATCTATCCAGTGCAGCTTGACACGTCTGGGAGCTGTCACAGATGAGGGCAATGTCGTCAGCATAATCCAAGCCAAGAAGTCGTTCTCCTGGGAGTAGCTCCACATCTTCTAAGTCGTGTCCTGTAAATGCTATCTCGACTCCGTCAATAGCGAAGTTGAATAAGAAGGGTGACAATGAGCATCCTTGTCTCACACCGCTGGCGATAGTGAAGGGCGGCGACAGCTTACCGTAAGCCCCAACTCTTCCCGTGTTACTCGCGAATAATGGTCGAATAATATTTACATATTTCTCGTGCACACCATTCCTGAGTAGAAAATTCCAAATGGCACATCGATCAAACGAATCGAAGGCAGCTTTGATGTTGAGGAACACGACTACGGTGAACCGCCAATATGTGAGACGCTACTCTAACAACTGACTCAAGGTGAAGAGGTCACCGATGAAGCCACGACCCCGACGAAACCCGGCTTGCTCCTCACGAACCTGGTTTTCACGAGCGCCAGTCAGTCTGTGATGCATTATGGAGGCGAGTAATTTGGAGGCAATGTAGATCAGACTGATTCCTCTATGGTTGCCGCCTTCCGAATACGAGCCTCCGTTGAAGATGGGAACAATAACGGAGCGGTTCCAGTTGCTTGGGAAAGTTTCCTGCTCCCACGGTTTCACTGATAATTCATGTAAATCAGCAATAAGAGCAGAGCCTCCGAATTTGAAGAGTACTGGATAAAGATCATCTGGTCCTTCGGTTTTGTGCAACTTCAACAATCTGATCTCACGTGTGACTTCTGAGCGAGAGGGTGGATCCAAATGGACAGCCCAGCGAGCATGGTGATCACTGGCCGGTAAGGATTCGAACGATTCCGGCCGATTAAATTGCTTTCCAAATGCTCAGCTCAAAGCTCTTAATGTGTTGATAAATTGTGGATAGGCTGTCCACTCTCGTCATGTATATTTTCACTGACACCATGTATCCTGTTGCCCGTTTCCCGTATCAGCCGGAATAACCTTCGATGGTTACCAAGGGCAGCGGCCACTTCCATATCTGACGCACGAAGAGACCACCAAGATTCGCGGTCCCTCTTCAGGTTAGCACTTAGATTTGCCCGGAGCTCTTTGCGAGTTTCACTGGGTTGGCTTCTAGCGGGAATATGCCGGTGAGCATCGATAAGTTCTAGAGACAGGGAAGAGACCCAATGTCTATGTTCGCCATTAGACTTTTTACATGAGGAGTTGCCTGCTGCTAGTAAGGTCTGGTGAACATGCGACCCGTGACCTTCAATTGTCTCCAGTGAGCGCTTAATCAACTCGCATGTCAGCGTAGTTTGATAGGCATTCAGAACAGCTGGCTTTGTCAGTTGGCTGGTGTCAATGCGCTCACAGCGTCGTCGTGGACGTCCGCCCATACGCATCCGCTTGTCAGTACAATAAAGTGCATGGTCGGTCTCCACACATGTGTTCCAAATCAAGCGACAGTTCTGGATGCAGCCTCTCCAGCAGTAACTATTTGCAATATGATTGATCTGCGTCCAAGGCTGGTTCGAGGCTGGTGGGCGCCAAGTCACCCTTCAGCGAATGCTGTGTCGAAAGTTAGTGCTCGCAAGAAATAAGCAGGCATCTTCACACAAATAAGAGTAACCGCTCACCGTTGTCATTGCGCGAGCCTACACCGTGTTGACCGCCCAGATGCATTTTATCGGTGGACAACCTTCCAACTTATGCGTTCAGATCATCTGCCAGCACAACAGTGTCCGTACATCTTCTGTGGCGAAGGAGCTGGATCAGTTGGCGATAGAAGTCGTTTTTTACCGGATAATCGCTTGGGTTTGTGGGCGCGTAGGCAGCGATGATGAATAGACACCTGTTAGTCCCACGCGACTTCGAAGCTTTGAACGAGCCAGCCAATCGGACCGCACACATCCGGCTACTGAGTGGGGTACAATCAACCAGAGCTGCTTCAGCCCGTGGACTCAGGGTAATGCCAACACCAGCTTGGCTGGTGCTCGAAGCTGGATCGTCACTGGATAGGCGTAATGAGAAAATACTGCTTGCGTCACCTGAAGGGGATCGCAGACTGAGCACAGTGCTCGAGTCTTGCAAGTGAGTCCCTGATAAGCAACCGATATCGATCGAGAGGGTCTCTAATGTTCGGGCAAGTGTTGCCTGTTGACCGATCTGTAGCAATGTGCGTACATTGAGGCATGCCAATCTGAAGGAGGATGGAGGTCTCCAAATGGAAGCCGATGAACTGGAACGGACGGTTTGGTTAGGCATGGGCTTGTTGACAGGAGAGGAGTGACGCTCCGCGTTAGCATGGGAGTTTGAATTAAAAGATAAACGCCTAGCGATGCATGTTGAGCATGGGCCAATAATCGGGGGTTTAAAAACAGGGGGGATAAAAGTGAAGTTGGAATGGGACCATAAGGGAAAAATAGCGTAGAGGGGGAAGAAGAAGACGGGAAGACTTGAGCAGTAGCATCCAAATCCCTATCCACCCTGCTCGATTCAGCAGATAGTGCACCGTTGATTATCCTCTGCGGTGGCCAGATCATCAAGAAACTGTTTGAAGAGAAATTCATAGTATTGCGTGGGTAGGATACTGTCAGGTTGTCCAAGCCTAGACAGGAGAACGATTAGGGCACTCAACCAAAGCCTTTGGTCCAAAAGCTTACCGCAAGTCAGCGGATTTGTCGTTGGGCTACAAGGAGTCTGTTTTAAGGCATAACGTGCCACTCTCATTCCAACCCCCAACCTGGAGGACCAGGAGGCTGAGTTTGTCTGGCCTCTAACCATTAACCAATCTGGTATGATAGACTCTGGATATGCAAAGCACCACCCAGCATGGCTTAATGGATCACTGAGGCGCACAAACCATCGCACCACAGTAAGGTCCAGCCTCATTGGGATGGTCCATCTGTCACTGTCTAATGCACGTAAGAACCACAGACTGATATGGTGGTATACATCGACGCGAAAACGCCAAATTTTACCAACTCAATTTTTCAACATACTGATTTAGTTTACTTTTCGATTTAAACCAATTGTGCCACGTTAAGTTCCGTCCGAGGGCCGCAAAATTAAAGCTATCGTTCAGGCGTAAACAAGAGCAAGAAATGCGGCTCATGTATGTAGTTAAGCTATTTGAGCTGAAGTAACCTTTTTGCTATACTATGTTGAATATTTTTGTGTGATTTCTTAGGATCAGGTGCAGTGCTTGTTTGATTCTACCGACTAGAGGAGTTCCGGGGCTTGCGAATGCCATGTATTTAATTTCTGCGTTTGATAAAATAAGGAAATTTTGCATGATGGTCGCAGCCGAACATGGCGTTCGGAACTGTCAAGTAGTCGGTTTCTCAACTAACATATATGGGAAAAATATTCAATTCATAATGTTTTGGCCTTTTACTCCACAAATGAT